CGTGGACTCCCTGAACTCTGGATCCCATCACAGCACAATTCACTTTCAGCCATTCCCATCCACCACTATGTCCCATGACACAAGCACTCAGTCCCCACCTGGGCACCAACATCTGACACATGGGAAATTAGGAGCATAACGGACGCTATTCTCACAGATCTGAGCACAGAACTCACCTGGACTATGCTGGTGAGAGTCGCCCTACTCCTAATTTACTCTCCAGTCTGTTCCCTTTCCATTGATTGGACGTGATTCCATAAAGGATTACAAGTCATCCTCACTAGAATCTGTTCTGTTTTTACCCCATTTCAGTCCTCTGCTTCATGAGTGGTCATTTGAGTCCTCCATTAATCATAATGTAAAAAAGATATAGCATAACTTCCTTATTCTAATGAATGTGTAAATTTGGTTCCCAGTGACTGGCAGGCATCACGTAAACAGAGATCCTAAAATCTAGGCAGCCTCCAGACAGAGAATTAAGAAATTAGGACAGAGAGAGAGAGAGAGAGAGAGAGAGAGAGAGAGAGAGAGAAATATAGAAAGCCCCAAGGTAAAATGCATATAAAGAGAGATTAAAAAATAGATAAGATAAAAGAGATCAGATCATTGAAGAAGGCATTCTAACTCATCTTAATAACAAGAACCCAGAGACAAATATTAGGGTTAAAGCTAATGATCAGAGAAGCAAAGCAGCCATCCACTAGAATTCTGACCCATACCAATGCTCAGACCATAAGAACAATCCTCTCCTCAGACTGCACTGAATTGCTGTCTCCCCCTGCCTTATATTTCTCTCTAGTGCTGGGATTAAAGGCATGGGATCCCCAGCCCTGGGATCTCCTTTTTGTAAGCACTTTTTCTTCTTTGTTCCAGAAAAATTTCAAGTAGCTTGAGGTGGCCCTGAAATAACAGAGATATGTTTGCCTCTGTCTCCCCAGTGCTGGGATCAAATGTGTGCACCCTGTATGAGGAACTAGTGTGGCTGTAGGATTAAGGGTGTGTGCCACCACTGCCTGCCCTTTATGGTTAACAAGTGTGTCTAGGTTGGCACTCTGATCTTAGGGTAAAGTTTATTTGTTATACAATAAATAATATATGAACACATATCATTCATTACTAATAATTATTCTCAGGAACTGTTGGTGGCCTAAAATAAAGTCCTATGTGACAAAACACATCCAAGCACAACAGGACTTTATGAAGACACTTATGCCACTGTCAAAAGCAAGAGACATTTGTGTGGCAAACATCTCTTAGAAGTTCCATTTCAGGGGCTAGTGAGATGAGTCAAAACGGTAAAGTTCCTGTCACTGATGATGACATTGTCAGTTTGATCTCCAGAGCAGAGATGGAAGGAGGCACCTGACTTGTGACATTTGTCCTCGGGCTGCCTGTTTACTGCTGCATGCATGCACCATTTGTTCCTAAAGAATCAGGCTGAGACTTGTTCCAAATGAACCCAGAAAGGGTTACATGGAGTCAGTGCAGAGCTGTGCAGGAGTCTTAAGGGCTCTGTGAGAGACCAGGACCATTTCCAACAGGATCCTGACACACGCTCACAGAGACAGAGAGAGATGTTGTGGGATATATTGATCTACCACACTCTTACTCTCCTGAGACTGCCAGTAAAGCTCTATCTGGAATCATGGGGTGGAGGAGCGCCTGGCTGACCAGAATTGGCCTAGAGAATCCAGAAACTTGGGTACAGAAGATACACAGGAAGGAAGGGTGGGGACTAGAGTTGAAGCTTCCTCTTGGCTCTGGGATGAGAGAATGGGCATGTTTCTTGTCATTTCATAGGCCAAAATGCAAGGTCAGCCTGTTGCTACTCAGCCTGTCTGAGCTAGCAGGTTTTTATCCCAGCCTTCCATTTCTGAGTCTGATTGCTAAATAGAATGATAGAGACTTAACTTGAAGCTACATATTGCAGATGTAGCAGAGCTGGGCTGTGGGAAAAGAAGCCCTGTCAGGTCTAGGCCTTAGTGACCAGCCGGGCACTGACTTGAGGGGCCTTGGACAGTAGAGGAAATTAAAATCAGTAGATTCAAGGGCAGCTGATAAGACAGAAAAAAATCAGGGAGATGCACAGAACATGAGCTTCTCTTACATAGACATAAAATATATTCTGTTCTCCAAAAGGGGGAAGTCTAAAGTATACATAAATGAGAAACGGTAAGTATGTTGGTGAGTTGTAGAGTGGTCACCTCACCCTGTGGAAATTTGTAGTCAACTCCCAAGTGACCCGTCCAGCAGGTCCAGTTTTTCAGGGTCTGAAGAGGTACTGCCTGAAAAGAATCATGGGCGGGAGAAAGGAGACCAAGGGAGCATAAGTTTTGTCAAGGTCTCATTTTATTGAAGGAGCAGTAAGGCTTATATAGGAGTGTGGCAAGGAGGGAGTGAGGAGGGAGGGAGGAGGGAGAGGGGAGCAAGCATGTAACGGCCACGGTGGTGGGGCTCCCGGGGATGGCATGCATCCACATGGAGGAGGAGGTGAGGAGGGAGCAGGGAGGGCCTCATTGTAGTTGGTACATCTGGTGTTTTGTGCAAGCGGCTATCTAAAGAATGTCTGTTGCCTGAGAACATTTTATATTTCTTGTTCTCAGAGTTGCTTATCTCTTCCCGGAATAGAACAGCCAGAGGTGGCAGTTGTCAGGTGGCAAGTCCTTCAAGAGCCTGTAATTTTCCACTGCTCTGGATGGCTCCTTAACTTATGGCTCCCAACACCCAAGGACTACACAAGAACAGGAACAAATGCCAAAGAGTAGATGCAGATTTCCCTATTTGATTGATTGGTAGATTTGCTTTTTCACATTGGGGATGGAAACCAGGACCACACATATGCTCTGCAGACAACATACCAAGCAAAGCATACCAAAATTCCTTTCCTCTCCTCTTCTCTCCTCCCTTCACATCTCCCTTCCTCCTCCTCCTCCTCCTCCTCCTCCTCCTCCTCCTCTTCCTTTTCTTCTCCCCCCCTCTGTCTTTCTCAGTCTGCCTGTTTCTGTCTCTCTGTCTGTCTGTCTCTGTCTCTCAGGGACCTAATGCAACCAGGTCTCCATGAACACTTTACCCAGCTTCCTCCACTGAACTGCATCTCGGGTGTGTTTTTGGATTTTTTTTTTATTTTCTTTAAAGCCAGTACCTAGATTAGAAACCAGAAATCCACTACTGATTTCTGTGCTCAATCCACAATCCTTATTAATACTATTTTTGTTTGTTGGTTTTTGAGGCAGGGTTTCCCTATATATAGCCATGGCTGTCCTGGAAATAGCTTTTTAGACCAGGATGGCCTAGAACTCAGAGATCCACCTGCCTCTGCCTCCCCAGTACTGACATTAAGGTGTGTGCTACCACACCCAGCAGTACTGTTTTTTTTCTAAATCACAGAAGACTGAGTTCCTTGGGCTAACTTGAGCTTGAGACCCTCCTTCTTTTTCCTCCCCCATAGAAGTTAATTACAGTCCTGTGCTAATGCTTGGTTGGGGGTTTCACAGTTGAACAGCCAACAGGCCATGGTGATTCATATATGTCATCCCACCCAACAGAATGCTGAGACAGAGGACTGTTTCCCATGTAGGGATAGTGAAAGACCCCAGGAGCCTCAGGGCCCTGGATGTCAGCCCAGGACTTCGGCTACCACAATCACCAGGCAGAGGTGAAAGCTTGATGCAAACAGCAAGAGGTTTTATTGCAGTTGTTTAACGAGCTAACCCCATGTTAGCTTGGGCCTTTCATCCATCCATCATGGCAGATCTGGGGAAAGACCCTGAGAAGACACAGGACTAAGATCTTATAGGGTAGCATAAGGGGAGTGTCTAGGGGTACACTCGGGCTCAGGATTGGTGTGCCTCCATGCTTGGAGGACTTGCCCTGTGTTGATTGTTCAACTGGTTGTTATGGCCCATAGGCCCTACCAGGGTGGTTGCTATGCTCTGCATGTCATTGCTGTGTACTTTCTTTAAAGCACACCCAGAGCTGTAAAGCATAGCGCCACCAGCTAACTTCTGATTGGTTCCTTGCCACGAGCAGGCAATTGACTTCCTAGTGACCAAGGCAAGGTCAGGCAAGCACGTTTTAGGCTGTTGTGGCTGCTGAAATGTGGAGCTGATCCCTTCAATAGCATGGTCGACAAAATGTTTTTCATGCATTATGAGCTACCCAGTAACATATAAACAAAGAAACAAACATTATAATGCTATACCTCTGGGTTGTTCTCCAACTCACAGAGATCCCCTTGCCTCTACCTCCCGAGTGCTGAGATTAAAGGCTTGTGCCACCAACACCTGGTTTAAAATTGTCTTTTTAATCAGCTGTCATTTAGGATACACACATGCATACGTGTGTTGTGTGGATTGATGCATTTGAATGCAAGTGTCCACACAGATCCCATCACCTGGAGCTGGAATTACAGGCAGATGTGAGCCACCTGATATGGGTACAGGAAACTGAACCTGAACCCTATGAAAGAACGCCTCCCCTGTGTTTTTAACTTTTGAGCCATCCCCCTGGCTCTGGGGTCACTCTCTGCATCCCAGACTACCCTGGATATATAGTGTGCACTTTAGGATAACTGTATCTACTTGCCCCAATTTGGAAGAGAGTCACTATTGACATGTAGCTGTTCCCATTTTTATTTCTGTCCAGAGTCCTTACAAAGAGTTAGTGAATAAGATCCAGACAACAGTAATGGCATTTAAACACAGGACCATCACTCTATGTATTTAGGAAAGATACCAATGAATAAAAAAACTTTGATACAGAATTGTTTTATTGCTGTTTCATTATACAGAAAATTGAGAATGCAATGGATAGGCATAGGGACATTTTAAAACCACAATTAATAAAAAGACCACAACTGAAGACTTTAAATATAGTTCCTTGGTTCAGTAGATCCTTGAAGCCAACTGAGAGACTTTCCAGACCCTGAACATACCAGGGAGGCTAATGACTGAGGAAAGCCCAGAGGCAGAGCACCCAAATCTTGAAGTCAGGTTCTCTATTTACTGCCAGCAAAGACAAAGTCTGGGACCCAGGTCATAGACACAACGCACACCACATAGACGGCAGATATTTGTAGCCACGACGATTCTTTTGGCCTGCCTCTTGGCCCTGAGTGCATCCATGAGCTCAGGACAAAGGTGGAGGAATCTTCCTGTGTCAATGCACCACGAGTCATCATAGCACTCCATAGGGGCAGGGTATTGCTCCCCATTAATCTTGCTCCAGTTGTCGGTGTGCAGCAAAAGGTCCTTCAGGATGGGCGCAGAGAAGTCATTGTCATACAAGTTAATGTTCGTGAGCTCGGTGCACCGGCTGAGGGCAGGGATGAGGACAGTGAGCTGAGAGTCCTCCATCCTACAACCCTGCAAGTCCAGGGACTGCAGAGTATGTGCCACAGTCTCTAGCAGAAGTCGGAGAGGCAGGGGATTTAAAGCCCATAATTCCACACCGCTTATGGTCAGATGTTTGAGCCACCATAGGCGTTGACAACAGGGTAAATAATTGAAGTCATACTCTGACAGAATGTAGCCAGTGATGGAGAGAGTCTTCAAGGGGCTTCTCAGGCACCTAGGGATAAACAAAGTGGTTAGTTCCAGCAAAAGGTTTTGGAGAAGACTGTGTACCCTGGGACTTACAAACAAGCTGATGGGCACATAGTTCAAGGTCAGTTGGACCACATGATCAATGCAGACTATCGGGTGCTGCCTAGTGCTGTCTATTACATCAACCACACCCAACTTTCACCAAAATTTTCCCCAGTGACAGGAAGGCACCATCCATCCACTGATCCTTAGTTAAAGAGAAAGGTTTGCTTTAGTAGCTGACCCAGCCCTCTATCTTGCTTACCTGAGGATGTGTTTCATGTAGTCTCTCAAAAAGTAGATGCCTTTCAAGGAGAGATGCTGAAGACAGTGCAGTCTGGAGAACTGAGACACGAGCTTCCTGACAAACTTCCCTTCTCTGTCTGCCATCCTGTTGCCAGGCCCAATGGTGTTCTTGTAGATGCTGATAATGGAGAGTTTGCAAAGACTTCTCATGTGGCCAAGGTAGGTGGCAAAGCGTGCCAATGTGGACATGTCCCACCCTGTGTGCAGTTCCAGTTCCTCAATGTGCCATGGCTGGAAAACACTCAATATCTCCTTGATGGTGCATAGAGGCAGATTGCAGATCTTCATCTTTGCACAGCAGAGCTGTAAGGAGCCTTTTCTCTCCTGGGCCCACTGCAAGAAATATGCTTGCTCTTCATCCAGTATGCGTCTGAGACAGAGTTCAGCTATGACCTTCAGACGCCGTCTCACTGCATATCTTGGAAGGACCTTCACTGCTTGCTCCTCATCCCTACTCTCTGATGAGCAGTCCTCATCCTCTGTTTCAGTCCATATGGTCCAGAAGTCATGGCATACCTTCCTGAGATCCAGGACCTTCATTTTGTTCCTACTGTGGGTGAAAGGGTGGCAAGGGTCAGCAGACTTGACAGGACCCGACAGTGAGACAGCTTCACTACACATCCCTAATGTCAGCTCTTCCCGCCTGCCAAGGACTAAGTCACTTTCAGCACCCAGTGTCCAATTTGGGAACTCTGTTTGCTATGGAAGCTTCCCTTGGGCTGCATCTATCTGTAGACCTGACTGTATTCCTTCCACTAAGTTACTCTCTGTTTCTACCTAGTTCCTTTTTTTATGGTTGTGGGAATGCCAGGGCAGTCTAACTGCACTGTGGCTCCATCTATCCTAAGTTTTCATCCGCACTCCATTGGCTTACTACAAGGAATCAATAGCTTTCAAGGCCCTGCATCCCTGCATGAGGATCCCATCAGAAGCCTCTGAGCCACTTCCCATGCTCTTAGCCCGAACCTCTCAGTCTCTTCCTTGAGTACCGAAGTGCTCCAGTCTCCAGTACTTGGTTCTTGCTTACCTGGGGTGAAAGTTTCTTGCCAGCTGCATGTCTACTCCTTCAAGTACAGCCTGGAAGGTTTCTAAGTTGGGGGTCTTCATCAATGTCCCCACAGGGAGGCAGGGGAATGGCCAGGCTGCCACCATTGCCTTCACGATCCTAGTGTGTCTGCCTTTGAAGGCATCCTTCAATAGGCCTGGGCAGAGCTCTATGGGCAGTTGTTCCACAGCAGAGATGGCCAATTCCTCATTTCTCAGCAGAGCCTGCCTTGCCTGTTTCAGGAGTGGGGTTGGGGTGTGAAGGCTCATCAGGAAGGGTCTGCAGTCAGAAAGGTCCTGGGGAAGCATTCAGAGAAGAACATATTATCAGAACCAAGTTTAGAAATCTTCCTCACCCAGCACAGGAACCACTCAAGTCAGATATTATTTGCTCTGGCAATGGTAGAAAAACCAACTTAAACCATGGTCCTCCCTGGTGGTTTGAAGCCAGACTCCCTCATTGGCAGCATGAGAGCTTCTCTGTCCCATAACGGACTCATGAATTCTAGGTCAAAATAACTCATGGAAAAAAAAAAAACTTATGAGTCACCCTTTCTCAAAAAAAAAAAAAAAGCCTTGTGTTGTTGTTCAATGTTTACCAATATTTACTTTATTCCTACCAAGGAGGATGATGGCAGTGGTTTCCTGAAGTTTTCAGGCCATGCTGTGTTACAGAACCATACCATATCAAACAAACAAACAATCAAACAAACAACAAAACAAAAGCAAAACTGGCTTCTTCCTTTCCACTCCTCTGCAGGCCTGACCCGTACCAAAGGAGAAGCTCTCTGAGTCTGGAAACATCTCACTTTTCCTTCCCCCTCCTCCCCTGGCCTGACCCCCACCAAGGTGAGTGTACCCTCAGCTCCTGTCCTATTCCTACCCAACTTCCCATTCACCCTGGATGTCTCTGGGCCTGTGCCTGCTTAGAGTAGACCCACCCAGAGAGGGAGGAGCTCCCTGAGTCTGGAAACATCTCACTCTTCCTCCACCTTTCCGCTGCCGTGGCCCGACCCTTACAGAATGAAGAGACTACCAGGAAAGGCAAGACCATCCAGAGCTGCAGACATTCAAGTCTTGGCCCACACACAACACCAGGTGACAAGAGGAGATAGAGAGACCCCACCTGCACCCACTGGAAGAAGACATGGGATGAAGACTAAATTAAGAACACACTCAACAGAAAGACCAATATGATACCACCAGTATCTAGGGACTCCACACCAGCAAGATCTGAAAAGCCCAACACAGAGATGATGAAGAAGAGATGAACCTCAAAAATTATCTTAGGAAGATGATAGAGACCTTTAAAGAGGAAACAAGAAAATCCCTTAAAGAAATAGAAGGGAAAAAAAGCAAAAAATTACATGAAGTGGAGGAAAAGATGGACCAAAAAATTCAAGAAATAAACAAATCTCTTAAAGAATCTAAAGAAACCCAAGAAAAAACAACCAAACAAGTGAAGGAAGCACTCAAAACAGTTCAAGACATGAAAGCTGAAATAGACACAATAAAGAAAACACAGAATGAGGCGATGCTGGAAAAAGAGAAATAGAAAGGCTGGATAAATGATCAGGAATTAAGATGTGAGTATAACCAATAGAATTCAAGAGATGGAAGAGAGAATCTCAGTTGTTGAAGACTCTCTAGAGGATATAGTCATCGACCAAAAAAAAAATCTCAAGTCCAACAAATCCCTAACACAAAATATCCAGGAAATATAGGACACCATGAAGAGGTCGAATCTAAGAATAATAGGTATAGAAGGTGAAGAAATACAGTTCAAAGGTACAGAAAACATATTCAACAAAATCATAGAAGGAAACTTCCCCAACCTACACAAGGACATACCTATGAAAGTACAAGAAGCTTACAGAACACCAAACAGACTGGCCCACAAAAAGAAGTCCCCTCGACACATAATAATCAAAACATCAAACCTACAGACTAAAGAGAAAATATTAAGAGCAGCAAAGGAAAAAGGCCAAGTAACATATAAAGGCAGACCTATCAGAATCACACCCGACTTCTCAATGGAAACTTTGAAAGCCAGAAGGTCCCAGATAGATATCTTACAAACACTAGGGGAGCATGGATGCCAACCCATACTACTGTACCCAGAAAAACTTTCTATCACTATAGATGGAGAAAACAATATATTCCATGACAAAACCAGACTTAAACAATACATATCCACAAATGCAGCACTTCAGAAAGTTCTGGAAGGAAAACTCCAACCCAAAGAAGATAACTACGCTCACAAAAACATAGGCAATAGATAATCCAATTTGACCAAACATGAATAGAAACAGGAGGGTGAAATACACAATGATACCTCCAACAATAAATCCAAAACAAACAAGAACCAACAATCAATGGACATTAATATCCTTCAATGTCAATGGTCTTAACCTGCCCATAAAAAGATAGAGGCTAACAGAATGGATACGAAGGCAGCATCTGTCCTTCAACTGCATACAAGAAGCAACCTCAAATTCAAAGACAGACATTACCTCAGAGTAAAGGGTTGGGATAAGATATTCCAATCAAATGGACCCAAGAAACGAGCTGGGGTAGCTATCCTAGTATCTAACAAGTTAGACTTCAAACTAAAATCAATCAAAAGACATGAAGAAGGTCATTTCATATTCATCACAGGAAAAATCCGTCAGGCAGAATTCTCAATTCTAAACATCTATGCCCCAAATAAAAAGGTACCAACATCCATAAAAGAAACATTATTAAAACTCAAATCACAAATAAGACCTCACACAGTTATAGTGGGAGACTTCAACACCCCTCTCTCATCACTGGACAGGACCACCAGACAGAAACTTAACAGAGAGACAAAGGAACTAATAGAAGTTATGACCCAATTGGGATTAGCAGACATCTATAGAACTTTCCATCCAAACATGAAAGAATATACCTTCTTTTCAGCATCACATGGAACGTTCTCTAAAATCGACCACATACTCGGCAACATAGCAAACCTCAACAGGTACAAAAAACTTGGAATAATCCTGTGTGTCTTATCAGACCACCGTGTTTTAAAGTTAGAAATCAAACACAAAACAAATTGCAGAAAACTTACCAACTCGTGGAAATTGAACAATGCGCAATTGCACCATTCCTGGGTCAAGGAAGAAATAAAGAAAGAAATTAAAGACTTCCTAGAATTCTGTGGTAGACTTTGGGGATCCCCTTTGGAGGGCCTTACCCTGCCTGGGGAGTGGAGGGGGATGGCTAGGAGCAGGTGGGATGCTGGGGGGGAGAGGAGGGGGAGGGAGAAGGGATTGACATCTGAAGCAAGCTTGTTCCTAATTTGAACTAATAAAATAAATTAAAGACTGCCTATAATTCAATGAAAATGTAGACACAACATACTCAAACTTATGGGACACTTTGAAAGCAGTACTAAGAGGAAAGTTCATAGCTCTAAGTGCTCACATGAAGAAACTAGAGAATAGTCACACCAGAGAGTTGACTTCACAGCTGAAAGCTCTAGAACAAATGGAAGCATAATTCATCCCGGAGTACATGCCAGGAAATAATCAAACTGGGGACAGAAATCAATAAAGTCAATAAAGAAAACAATTCAAAGAATCAATGTAAGAAAGATTTGGTTCTTTGAGAAAAATCAACAAGATAGACAAACCCTATGCAAACTAACCAAAAGGCAGAGAGAGAACATGCAATTTAACAAAATCAGAAATGAAAAGGGTGACAGAACAACGGACACTGAGGAAATCCAGAGAATCTTCAAGTCATACGTTGAAAACCTGTACTCCACACAATTTGAAAATTTAAGGGAAATGGACAATTTTCTGGACAGATATCACTTACCAAAATTGAATCAAGAGCAGATAAGCAACTTAAACAGACCCATAATCTCTAAGGAAATAAAAGCAGTCATCAAAAGTCTCCCAACCAGAAAAAGCCCGGTGACAGATGGATTCACTGCATAATTCTACCAGAAAATCAAACAAGAGCTAATACCAATATTCCTCAAATTGTTCCACACAATAGAAGCAGAAGGGTCATTGCCAAACTCTTTTTATGTGGCTACAATCACTTTGATACCCAAGCCACACAAAGACACAACTAAAAAAGAGAACTACAGACCAATATCCCTCATGAATATCAATGCAAAAATACTTAACAAAATATGGGTGAGTTGAATCCAAGAACACATCAGAAAAATCATCCACTATGATCAAGGAGGCTTCATCCCAGGGATGCAAGGATGGTTCAACATACGAAAATACATCAATGTAATCCACCATATAAACAAACTGAAAATGAAAAACCACATGATCATCTCACTAGATGCTGAAAAAAGCCTTTGACAAAATCCAACATCTCTTCATGATAAAGATCTTGGAGAGAACAGGAATAACAGGAACATATCTAAACATGATAAAAGCAATATACACCAAACCAACAGCCAACTTCAAACTAAATCGAGAGAAACTCAAAGTGATTCTTCTAAAATCAGGAACAAGACAAGGCTGTCCAGTCTCTCCATATCTCTTCAATGTTGTACTTGAAGTTCTAGCTAGACTTGCCAAAAGCAATCTACAGATTCAATGCAATCCCCATCAAATTCCCAACACAATTCTTCACAGAGATTGAAAGAACAATACTCATCTTTATATGGAAAAACAAAAAACCCAGGATAGACAAAACAATCCTGTACAATAAAGGAATTTCCAGACACATCACCATCCCTGACTTCAACATCTGTTATAGAGCTATAGTCCTGAAAACAGCTTGGTATTGGCACAGAAATAGACAGACAGACCAATGGAACCAAATTGCAAACCCTGATATTAACCCAATACCTATGAACACCTTATTTTTTTACAAAGATGCTAAATCTATACAATGGAAAAAAAGATAGCATCTTCATGAAATGAATGGTGCTGGCACATCTGGATTAAGACATGCAGAAGATTGCAGATAGATCTGTATCTGTCACCATAAACAAAACTTAAGTGCAAATGGATCAAAGATCTCAACATAAATTCAGCCACACTGAATCTTCCAGAAAGGACACAGTCAGTAAGACAAAACGACAGCCCACAGAATGGGAAAAGATCTTCACCAACCCCACATCTGACAGAGGGCTGTTTTCCAAAATATACAATGAACTCAAGAAGCTATCCATCAAAACACCAAACAATCCAATTAAAAAGTGGGGTGCAGTACTAAACAGAGAATTCTCAACAGAGGAATGTGAATGGCTGAAAGACACTTAAGAAATTGCT